TACTTGGCGCGCGCTGGCTGCGCTCTGCGCGCATGCTGGTTGCGCGCTGGGCGCGCTTTGTGCGTGCGCTGGGCGCGCGATGGTCGCTCGTTGGGCGCGCGTTAGGCTGCTTTCTGGGCATGTCTGGCCAGATTTGGGGTTATTTCTAGGCAGCTTCAAACTTGATCTTCTGGGCTTCCTTTTGATTCAAAATCAAAACCCTAATTCTACCCAAATCCTAGAATTATAATAATTCTAATCCCGAATAAAATTACAAATAATTTAATTTGAACGAATTTAATGCAATCCATGGAACCATATAATTAACGACCAAATCCATCATCCATACATTCATCATCATGAATCAAATATAAACATCCATAAATGCAAGTGCCTACCCATCACATACATACATAATTAAATATCACATATTTAATATATTAATTTTAATTATCAAATAATTGGAGGATAAATTAATATAGTCTATAGACCGCTCTGATACCAATTGTTGGTTACCGAATCGAATTCGGATGCAGAAGCGTGGGGAAGGTGGATCGTGTATAACAAAAATTTTCACAAAACCTTTGAAATACTTTATAGATTATATTAATTTATGCACGAATAAATTAATCACATTAATTTATTTATTAAGAAGTCAATTACGAATAATACATGGCGGCCGATTAGGATGATAACTTGAGTTCTTTGACATCGAACAATCCTTGCTCTAAAACTTTGTGTTTAGAAAACCAATGTCTTCCACATCAATTCCTAGAATCTACGAAGACGTGTGTGTGGGCACACCTGAGACAAAACGGGTTAGAATAAACACTTAAATTTCCACAAACACCAACGCATGCACGATGTGAAATTTTTGGAGAAAAATTTTTCCTTCTCACTCTAAGAATTTCGGCCAGCCTCTGTAATAAGGGAAAAAATTATTTCAAAAATTGTCTCGCGCAATTTTCTATCATTCTCTTATTTATAGAGTATAAGTCAAACTTCTAAAAGGAATCCAATCTCTATCTCTAAGATAAAGCTTGTTAATTATCTCCTATTTGAATTTGAAACAAAATCTCACATTCCCTTATCCTTAGTGTGGCCGGCCACCTTAGAGAATTCTCATCCCTATGTGGCGCTAATTTGCAGATAGGGAAGGAAGAGAAAATCATCCTTTATCCTGTAGTCCAATTTTGACTCAAATTCCAATTTAAGTCAAACTTAAATTAATTTGAATTCTAAATTGAACAACTTATCAAATAAGTTTAAATGGATAAATCTAGATGTATGTTCAAATTTAAATTTAAATAATCACATTATTTAAATAATAATTAATTCTCAATTAATTATTTTCGAGTGTTTAATTTTAGAATTCCGTAATTCTAAAATTCCCATTTTGCCTTTTGTGTCTGGTAGAATTACTAGGACGACGCGGGGACTAATGGACCTATAATCCCGAGCTCCAATAAAATTAATAATCAATTAAACACTTTAATTAATTAATTAATTCTATTAATTCCAATAGTTACTCCACTATAAACTTAGAATTGCACTCTCGAAATTATAGATCTAATTATATCTTTATCCTTGAGTACCATTGATTCTCTAATGGACAGTGATTCATAAAACACATTCATGAATCGGAGCTCCTACTGGTCCAAGTACCGAATCAACCCTCAAGAGAATTATTTATCTACTTCTTTCTCAAGAAGGAATGGATTCCATCTCGTATAATAACATTTCCGGCTACCTACTTCATCATGTCTCCAAAATACAAGGAATAGGATTCAGGATATCAGAATCCGTACTGAGTAAATCAAAAGACACAAATCCATAAATAGGAGTCTGTTAAGAACTCAGGATTAAGATCAGTCTATATATGACTATCGGTAGACTCAATTAGAATTTCTATACTTAATGGAAATTATTAGAAATTCATATTATGTCTATGTCCTTGTTCCACATAATCTCATTATGCGAAATACACTCATTCAATATCTCACCATATTAACAGTGCGGATAACACCATCTCATTCTAAATGGGAATGACATGTATTAATAATGTTTTAATTAAATATTCTGAACTTTAATTAAATTCATTATGAACATTATTTTTTGATTATTATTCTTAAACATTATCCTCTCGTATATAACACTTATATACAATATTTAAGGTCACATAAATAATCATGAAATTTTCATTGATATTCATAAAATATTCATAAATATATGCACATAAAATAATGAATAAACTCTTTTATTAAATAAATAATAAATATCATATTACATCTTATACTTCTAGGACACCATTCTCAACAACTTTAACAAAGGTAAAACCGACAAGAGGAAGATTGTGTAATTATATGAATTACATTAGACTTTAATATCCCAAATTCGTTGTATAAAATTCTAACGGTAATGCCATGTGTAAAATTAGACAATTTTCCTCTCAGTTTGTATGTAGACAATGTGCTTACTTTCGGCATTCTGGAAGAAAGGCCCCGCCGACAAAATGCCAGGATTTTGAATAAAATATCTCCTTTTACAAGGTCAAAGGTTCAAGAGTTGTGAGGAGGAGAAGATGTTATAGAAGATACCTTTAAATAATATCAAGGAATTATGCGAGTGTTTTTATAGATCAAGTTACATACATAGTATTGATACGTATTGTGTGATTTTCAAAACAATGAAAAGTCAGTAATCAGGCAGCTTTTCACTATATATATGGATAATGGAACAGATTTTGAACGAGTAAAAGACATGTGTACGTTTGGTTCAAATTTAAAATTATTTTTGATTTTTGAATCATAATTTTGATTTATAAGTTTTTTTTTTTTAAAAATACTATAATAAATTATAAATCATAATTCAAACCATAATACGAATTTTTAAACACTGCAGTAGTTGGTGGCCTCAGGCCTCATATTGTGGTTATCAATAAGTACTTTTTTCTACATGATCGACATGGACCAGCAATGCAAAAGAAATGGCTTTATCTAAAAGAAGCCGCCCACAAACAGTATTATGAATTTCTAATTTAGTGACGACACTAAAGAGTATATCTTCAGCGACAACAATATTCCCGGCTAAAAAGTTCATATTATTTGATGATGTGGCATGATTAGATTCAATAATGATTTATTTTTTATTTAATCATTTTTACATCATTGATAGATGAATATCGGCATGATTTTTCTTTAGTTTTTATATCATTGTCTTTTTTTTTTTTTAAGATTTAAATTGAAACGGAGACATAAAATTTACAGACTGATATAGCTAAATTTGTTGTATGGGTTTTTTCAAGAGGCAAATGGATTTAGCTAAAAGCTCAAACCCAACAAACTCCACCTGACCCCAAGTCACCAAAAAGAGTTTCCAGTGCAGATGCCACATGGGTGAAGAGGCAACCGCCAACCGCTAAACCAAGAAGGAAGGGTAAAAATCAGATTGGGAAGCTGCAATTAGTAATTTATTTATTAATTTATTAAATAAATGATTCGTCGTATTAATTTTATTTTATGCAATTCACCGTTTTATTCTGTGATGAGGTAAATTTTTTGAGAGTTCTTGTTAACGAATTTTCACCATCAATAATTAGTACTTGAAAGGAGAGTTTGAACCTCTAATGTGTTTAGTATGAGAATTTGTGCCATGGTTTGAATCATGATTCGTGACTCGCTATAATATTTTTTTTTACAAAAAATACACGTAAATCGAAAATAATTCTGAATCCGTGAACTAAACGTCATTGATCGAAAAATTCAGCAAAAATGAAAAACGCATCGAAAAGCAAGACTATAACAATGGTGGGAAAATGCATCAGAATCAACACGTCTATGGAAGGGGACCATCTAAGGTCACTAGACCAGTTGCTCTCGGTAGAAGACCATCCCGCACTATGGCACTTGAACAACAATGTGGGCCGTGACGGAGATGGTTCATAACATGGCCATCGCCTTGGATGGATTGGAGAGAAGAAATACACAAAATAATGACTGATAAGGTAATGAATCGACAGACCATGGGAAGGCCGACAGCCGGGAATCAACGTTATCATAATAGTTCCATGAGATACACGAATTAATAGTTCCATGAGATACAATCAGTCGAGGCATACACGAACAAATAGTTCCATGAGATGCACGAATTCCAATTTCCAAGCATATAGTGATTGAGGAAATCAATATTTTAGAGGACATTTATGTAATTACATTATTTCAAGTGTGTTTTGAACAATTTTATATAGTTCAAGGGATGAAATCAATCTTTTTAAAATCCGTAACATGTTGAAACAAAAAAAAAAAAAATTAGATTGTTGTTATGAAAATAATCCAACAAAATTAAAATTTTTATAATTTTCCCGCTACATTGCACAATTTTTATAAATAAAATTAAAAATAAAGAAAAATACTTGATGGTACCAGCAATAATGTTAGACACTACAACTTAAAGAAAATTGATATTTTTATCGTTCACATACTATAAAATTCATTTTATATTAGTGTGTGGTGTCGATCACCATCTCTATCCCTTAGTATTGTTGAAAAACAAAAGGCAAAGAACTACAACTGACTTCTGAAGTTAGGAATGCACGAATGATTTCCCATGCAAAAATATAGGAGCATAATTTTTTTTCACTCCACGTTTAGTTGTGCATTAAGTCAATGTAGTTGCTACTTGCTATATAGTTTATTCAAAAAAGAAAAAACCTTATGCCTTGTTTGGTAAAGTCGGGATACTCTGTTCACTCTTGAAGAAGTTCTCCGGGTCAACCGCAGTCTTCACCTTCACCAATCTATCAAAATTTGCAGCACCAAAGTATCTGACCCCATACACCTTCCCTTCTTCATAGCTATTTGGCCCAAAGTGATTCACACCAATGTCAATGTCCCTATAATTCAAGAAAGCACTTCTTGGATTTTTCGACACAAATGGAGTCATGTAACTGAAAAGCCTTCTTATCTGCGTAGTAAAATTATTGTCGGCTTCAGGCCCTGGTTCTTTCCAACTGATCGAGTACTGAATCTTGAACAGATTCCCGGCTCGGTGCGGAAACGGCGTCGCGGATTCAGGGACTTGATTCATTCTACCTCCGTAAGGATTGAACACCAATCCGACTTTGCCCAATTCCATCATCTTCTTCCAAATCCATTCCAACCCATCTTTGGAAATCGGATTCTGAACGTAATCCGATTTCCTCGTACCAAAAATCGCCGAGTTCGGATCCCGGTCGAGCAACGCATCAGGGGATGTTCCATTGTCGTAATTTGCCCACCACAGAACAGAGTCGATCCAGCTCAGCTCCGTGCAGTTCTCCTTTTTCAATCCCAAAAGCGGGAAATCTTTCGCCAAAAACGACACCAATTCGTCTGCTTTTCCTAGATAGAGGGCATTGATCGTCACTCTCACCGTCTTCTGACCTTTGCTTGCTTTGGAAGTAACCGGTTGAATAAGCATTCTCATAAAGAGCCCGTCGTTCGTCGTCGGTGCGGCTTGTTGCCACTGGTAAACGAAGTCGGTCATCTTGTCGTTCACGTTGTCTAAAGTCCTCTGTGCCTTGAAAACGGTCACGATATCCGGCACGGGAACGAGCTTCAATTTGTAGGCCAAAATGACACCGAAACTCGCTCCACCACCTCCTCTAATTGCCCAAAAAAGATCTTCCCCCATTGCTTTTCTATCAAGAACATTCCCTTTTGCGTCAACGATCTTTGCGTCGACGACATGATCGACAGCTAAACCGTACTTTCTTATCATGTTCCCGTACCCACCGCCACTGAGATGCCCTCCTGCGCCGACAGTTGGACAAACTCCGGCAGGGAAGCCTAGGGCCTTGCTCTTCTTCCAAATGTTGTGGTAGAGTTCTCCAAGAGTCGCACCGGTCTGAATCCAAGCCGACTGGTCGGCTAGGTCGACCGTGACCGAGCGGAGATTGAACATGTCAATGATGACAAAAGGGACACCGGAGGTGTAGGAGAGTCCGGCATAGTCGTGCCCGCCGCTTCGTGTTTTTATCCGCAGGCCTAGGGTTTTTGCGCATAATACCGTCGCCGAAATGTGGCTTTCCGTCGTCGGAGTAATAATGAGGAGAGGCTTATTGGTAGATGTGGTGTTGAACCTGGCATTTCGGATGTAGGCTCGGAGAACCGAGGTGTAAGAAGGGTTAGTTTGGGAATAAATTATGCTTGAGAGTTGAGATGGTAGGGCCTTTGTGTTTCTTTGCATACATTGGAGGAATGTGTTGTATGTAGAATCCGAAGCGGCGGCGAATGAAGAAGAAGCCGAGACATGAAGAAGAAGGGAAAGAAAAGCTAAGGGAATCATCTTTTGGGCAAGAGAGGGATGAGAAGATGAAGGTGAGGATTTGTTTTCTCTCATTTGATTACATATTTATTCCCTTTGTTTTTTCGGTTTTTTTAGAAAGTTTTGTCACAGTAGATTTACATGTTCCATAAATAGTAAATGGCTATTTTTCCTTTTCTTTTTTTGGCTTGATATTAAACTCTAGAAGGAAAGGGAACGTTTTTAAGCCTTTCATTTAAAACCGCCTTTGGAAAATTCTAATTCTAATTCTAATGGTAAGAAAAAGTGTAAAAAAGGGGAAGAAGAATTTCTCAAAAAAGGGCAAGAAGGGCCGTAATTTTTAGTAGATTGGGGAAGTCAGCGGTAATCATGTTGGAAAAATCTTTTTCGCAAATCATGTTGGAAAAATCTTTTTCGCATTGTGTACATCGCCCGAAAATCACGGAGAAGGATATTTTTACGTCTTTATTGTTCTAACTTCTAAACGGGTAATTAATTGGCTGATTATTATTTTAGTAAATATTTATTTCATTATTTTGACTCTGTTCATTTTCGCTTCACCAAATTAATTATATAATAAAAGAAAGCAAATCTCATAATATTAGCTCTTTGCTTTTTTTTTTTTTTTTTTTTTAGGTTCATAATATTAGGTGTTCGACAACAACTCTTTGTCACGAATTGGGCTGACGTGTAAGTTTTGATTCTTAATGACAAGCCGCTGCTGCTAGAGACAGAAAATGCATCATAACAATTGCATGACATTCATAAAATTCAGAAAACTCCCTTCTTAGAAAGAAAAGAACCCCATCACTGGTTCTCCGTTCACTTCTTCAAATTTCTGGCGATCATGTGGAGACCTAGTCCTTCTGTGGACCCCGTTTTCGCAGCGGCGGTTCCGCAGTTTCCGGAATGGATTGACAATCGGAATATGGATTACGATGAAGATGATCCACTAGAGATTAATGGCCGCAAACGTAAAAGGTTGCTAGAGCTTACTGAGGGTTTCTATGCTGGTATGTGGAAAGAAGATGAGTATATGAGCCTGGGGATGGTGATTTCATTACCGAGGACTAATTATGTCTATAGACTATCCTTTGATAGAGAACATGATTAAAATTCTATTAAAATTAGAGTTATTTTAAAGTTATTAGGATTATCTAAGATTAAATAGTATTAGGAGTTTGATTACTATTAGAATTTATATGCCTATAAATAGGTCTTTCTATATTCATTATTTTCAGACTTGATTAGTGATATTGAATATTCATATTCTCTCCCTATTGTTATCTTCTTCTCTCTAATTACTACTTCTAAATTCTTTTCTATCCCATTCTTCTATTTCTCCCCCTTGCTCTTCCTTTCTATCAGCCCTACATCACCCTGTATGGCCAAAAAATTGACTTCTGTTTGTGTTTGGTTTTGTTCTTTCTTATGTTGCTTTTATGCCAAGTTTGACACATAAAACTCTGATCTTATTGGCTTGCTTTAAATGCTCTTTGATAATCTTTAACTTTCCTCACCAATATATATATATATATATATATATATATATATATATTGCATTACATTCACGTGTGCACCTTAAAGAGAACTTGTACTTTTTATAATTTATTGAATAAAAGTTTTCACAAGCTCGGCAATACTAAAATATATGATGTGGAGTTTAATATCATTTTATTCGACCTAGAGTTTCTTTATCAACGCAATTAAGAAATTAGCATAATCTAAAAAAAATTTGATAAAAAGGCGAGAATTAATCTAATGATTAAGAACTAATTCTTCTGTTGATGTTAACATCTTCGGTTTATTTGACAAGACTATAATAACATTATTTACCAATATGTCATAATTGCGAACCATTATAAGTATACACTAAAGATAACCTTTTTTTTTTTTTCTGATGGTAAATGTTGAAACTTGAAAGTGAGAAACAAACATGTGAATGAATTTTTCTCGGCCATTTTATGGGTTTGGACTTTTTCCATGGTCAAATAATAAAGGCAGAAGTTGTGAGGCGCTGCTTGATTTATAAAGCTGTGAATTGATGGGCAAGATGCCCCACTCACCGGTGCCAAACACAAGTGGCTCCAATATGTCCCCACAAATTAACCACCGGTGACTTCGTAACCAAACATTTCTAATACATAGTCAGATTTTTCTGGTAAATTATAAAAGAAAACAAAAAAAAAAAAAACACATTAGCAAAAAAAAAAAAATAATAATAATAATAAGAAAGAAAGCTAAAAGAACTATAAAGTGATTGAATTTCTATAGGGTAAATAACAAAATTACTCTAATGCTTATGTTTCTTTACAAAATAATATCTACTTGTCAGCAAAAAAAATAAATAGCCACTTGTAGCTGTGTTATTTGTTAACTCTGAAAATCAAGATGCACATGGGGAGTTGAGAAGTTCATGTAGCCGGCAAATAAAGATTAAAACGAGGTTACACCCGAAATCCAGGCAGGTTTTAAAAGCATAACACAAGACGACAAATAAGCGAGAACATGGGTTGGGCATGGCGAGTTGATGTTACAGATAAAAGCAGAAAAGACTATTAAAAAAAAGAAAAAAAAAAGAGAGAATTTCTTTAATAGAATTAGAAAAAAAAAAAAAAACTCGAGTTCTATTTTTTAATTGTTAAATTTACATAAAAATTATTTATTTTATATATATTTTTTAAATTAATGTGGTTTTAATTAAATATAACAATTAGAAACCGACTTTATTAGTAAATAATCTATCGAAAAAAATCTCTCAAAAAAAGAAATAAGAAATAAAAAGATAAAATTAAATGTTTTTAGCTGCACTTTTTGACGGCCATTAGTAAATAATCTATCGAAAAAAATCTCTCAAAAAAAGAAATAAGAAATAAAAAGATAAAATTAAATGTTTTTAGCTGCACTTTTTGACGGCCATCCAAGTGGACCATTATATTACAACTAATATTAACCTTCATATTCTATTATCACCTTCAATTTGGCCCTGGACATTATTAATATCGTAAATACAACATCAACAATATATCATATTTAACAGTCTTTTAAATTTTGAAAATAGTTTTTCTCATTTAAAAATGGTTTATTTCATCCGTGAGGTATGCAAGTGGTTCAAACACCATCTGAATTAATATAATTTTATAGATGCACTCTAAACCGTTAATTTGTGTCAAGTACTTGCTCTAACCTTTTAAAAGATATGGGCAAGTTGATATAATATTAAAAATTTATGAGACAAGCTCACTTAAAGAATTAGTATGGGGGCATTTATAAAATGAATAATACTAAGGATAACAACTCTAATTTTAAATTTTGTACCAATCCGTTATTTGACAATTTTTCTTAAGAGGAGTAGGTGCAACATATTATTATTAGTTGACATGACAATTTTTTTAAAATTTTATCCATAAAAAAAAGACAACTTATAAGTTACTGCAAAAGTCGGGTTAGAATTTGTGGCCATAACACAACTCATTAATGTTATTATAAATAATACCGCATCATCATATTATTAGTAATGTAAATTGAAGAAGTATTTTAAATTAGTGTACACAGAGGTAAATAACCTTTTCCAACAATGGTACCTAGTATGTTATCCTGATCTTTGTAAAAAAAATGGCATAAAAAGACCAAGTGTAAGAGTTGCATTAAAGGAAAAAAAAAAATGAAAACTCATTACAGGACCCTAGTGCAATTCCTACTAAAATAATTATTTTTGAGGAAATTTCAAGACTTGTGTGTTTGTAAATTAGGTTGTTTGCGGTAAAAAAAAAATATACTTTGGATAATAAATTATAAATGGGCCTTGACAGAGAGAAGAGAAAATAAAATTTTGTGCTGGCCTAAAAAAAAGAGCATTAAATATACACATTTTAGAACGTCGAGTAATGGCAAAATGATGCATTAAATATACACGTTTCCATTACAGAACGTGGGGGTAGTGGCAAAACGGCAAGATATCTCCCCTGGAAATTCTTCTCTATAAAAAGAAGCAAGAGGAGACACGGGAGGCAGATGACACTTTTTAGAGAAAGGCATAGGCGTTGGTGTTGGTCTGTGCAGCAAGGTAAAAAGTGTGCAGCAAGAAAAAAGAGTGTGTGTGTGTGTGCATGTGCATTTAAGAAGTGTGTGTGTGCAGGTGTGACAGTGATGTAAAAAAAAATTACATTCTCAGAAGTGCAGTGAGATATTTCGAAACAAAAAGGTAAATACATGTTTTGATATTTTTGTCTTCTTCTGCACTAACAGTTTTAGTTTTTTGTGTTATTAAACAGATACCGTGCATTTAAATCAAGTCCTATATACATTTTATTGTGTGGGATTGTGATTTACTCCTTGACTCTCTCTACGAAGATGAATTTTATGTACACCTTATGGCGTGAGATTTCTTATTTGTAATACTCTTAATAAATTTCTAATATACTCATGGTGTGTGGTTCCTCGTTCTTATCACAATCCTATGATTATCACCAAGACTTAGATTTCTTTTTAGAGATCTATATAAGTTAAATGTGATTTCAAAAATCAAAGATTAAAAGTTTTCCAAATTATTTGTTACGATTGTGAATTCACGGTAAAAAAAAAAAAAAAATTCTTTGCATTTGTTACTTTGACTTGGATTTTCTTTATACAGAACTCTATATAAGTTAAAAGTAAATACAAATAAATAATTTAGACAATTTCCCAATTAAATATATTAGTCTAGGACTGTACAAAAAGATCGTAAAACCGAAACCGAACACTACCGACCGAAGAATATGTATGGAGTCTGCTCTTTTGGGGCATTTTCAGTTGTAAATGCTAAGTAGGTTCAGTGTGTTGTAAATTCACAGCTACCCATTAGGTATCTTCACCCTGTAGCATATGAATCAAATCATCCATCACCAAAAACCCCACAAAACAAAAACCATAATAACATAACAACCCGTAATTGTGACTTTCAGTTTGTACTTTTGATTTTAGACATTGAATTTGGATATTTTGTGTTTGTGGTATTATTAATTTGGATGTTGTGCTTTGTATTCATTTATTGTGATTACAGGTTTGCATA